TCATTTTAGCCTGAAGGACTCCCTTTAATATTTCTTATAGGGCAAGTTTGCTAGCAACAAATTATCTCCATTTTTTTATCTGAGAATATCTTAATTTCTTCATTTTAAAGGAGTTTTTGTAGATAAAGAATGCCTGACTGCCTTCTGTTCTATTAGCACTTCAAATATGTCATCTCACTGCCTCTGGCCTCCATGGTTTCTAATGTGAAATCAGCTGTTATTGAGGATCCTCTGTATGTGATGAGCCATTTCTCCCTTTCTGCTCTCAAGATTCTCTCTTTGTCTTTTGACAGTTTGATTATGATGTGTCCAGGTATGGATCTCTTTGAGTTTATCCTACTTGGAGTTTATTGAGTTTCCTGGATAAGTAGATTAATGTGTTTCCTAAAATTTTGGATGTTCCTGGACGTTATTTCTTTAAATATGTTTCTGCCCTTTACTGTCTATCCTTTCCTTCTGGGACTCCCTTTATGCTTATGTTGGCATAATTGATAGTGTCTTAAAGGTCTCTGAGACTCTATTTACATTTCATTCTTTTTTTGTTTCTATTTCTCATATCGGATAATCTCATTTGGTCTGTGTTCAAGTTCACTGATTCTTTCATCTGCCTCCTCAAATCTGCTATTGTGCATTTTTTACTTCAATTGTTATACTTTACAACTCCAGAATTTCTACTTGATTTTTTCTTATAATTTCTATCTCTTTTATTTCTTTTTGACGAGACATTGTTCTCGTAATTTCCTCTCGATATTTAGGCATAGTTTTATTTGGTTCTCTGAACTTATTTAAAATAGCTGATTTCAAGTCTTTTTTTTTTTTTTTTTTTTTTTAAAGATTTTATTTATTTTATTTTCTCCCCCCAAAGCCCCAGTAGATAGTTGTGTGTCATAGCTGCACATCCTTCTAATTGCTGTATGTGGGACTCGGCCTCAGGATGGAGGGAGAAGTGGTGGCTCGATGCGCACCTGGGATCCGAACCCAGGCCACCAGCATTGCAGCGCGCGCACTTAACCACCAAGCCACAGGGCCGGCCCTAATTTCAAGTCTTAAGTCGAGAATCTAGGCTTCCTTTGGGACAGTTTCTGTTGACTGCTTTTATTCCCCTGTGCATACGAGCCATACTTTGTTTCTCCACATCTCAATTTTTTGTTGAAAATTGGACACTTTAAATAATGTGATAACTCTTGTAATCAGATTCTCCCTCCCTCCCTTGTGTTTGTTATTGCTCTTTGTTGTTGTTTTAGCATTGCTGTTTGATTACTTTGTTTCTTAAACTAATTATATAAAGTCTGTATTCTTTGAGTTTATATTCTGTAATTGGACATTGATTTCCCTAAATGCTTTGAGTCGGTAAGTCTCCCATTGTTTGCCAAGGAGTTGTGTGTACATTGGGGCATGCTGCAGCATTCAGCTAAGCAGTTGACAACTCTGCCTTAACCTTAACTTCCTGCTTGCTCAGAGCCTTACTATCAGCCAGAAGTGAGGGCTTAGGGCTTTGTTAGGTCTTTTCTGAGTATGTGCGCTGCCCTATGCTTGCACACAACCTTGTGGTATCCAAAGAATATGTCACAGCTTTTCAAAGCCCCCTGTGAGCTTCTCATTCCCCAGCTTTTCTTTTTTAAGTTTTTTTGTTTAGCCTGTTGTTTGTCTGGACTGTTATCTCTGTCAGAGGCTGCTGTAGTATTAAGCAGTTCCTGCTGATTGTTTTAATGAAACACCTCCAAGGAGAAGGTTGTTTGCACTGGATAAGCTCTGATTCAATTCAGAGACCAGCCATGCAAGTGGGGTTTTACAGGGAATTGTCACACAGGTCAAATAATGACAATTTCTGGGAACGAGACTTTGGAAAAATTCCAACTTCTAGGTTGCTGGTTTTCACTGTGATTGCACGCTCTTGATTTTCAAGTGTACCACTCAGCTGGGGAGATGAACATCGGAATAGAGCAAGTTAAAATACTACAGGTTCACTGTTCTTACTGACATTCAGCCACTTTTCATAAATAAATGCTCCTAGATTTTTATAAGACTGATTATTTTCAGGGTTCTGTAAAAGTTGATTTTAGTAATTCGTGCCAGAGTTTGCATTGCTTTTATGGAGGAGAGGATTTTTGGAGGTCGTCACTCTGCTGTTCCTGCTGAAGCTGCTCAGAATTTGGAAGTTTAAACTGAGAGCTATGGGAAGTGATTGAAGGGCTTTACACAAGGAAGTAATTTAACCAGATTTAATGCACAAGTCAAAGCAAGTGTGATGCCTTATAGATGAAGCATCTTGCTCCTGAAGAATTTAAGTGCTTTTTCCCCCCAAAATTACAATGCTTATTTTAACAGAATGGAATAAGAACCTGGTCTCCTGATAACCTAGTCCAGTGTTCTTGTACTATACTGCTGTTTTTAGTGGTTGGTTTAGTTAAACCCCAGTAATCCTAAGAAATAAAAGAACAAGGATAGGCTGCCAGTCAGGACAAATAAAGCATTCATTTGTGTAAAAGTGCCGAGCCCTGGTATCTAATATTGTTCCGTAAATTATAGTTAGGTGTGAATGTTCAAGTTGTTGTTGAAATAATGTTTTGATTCCCAAAGGGTATACATTAAAAATCAGAGTGCCTTTCTTACCTTTCATGCAAAGTAGATCTTTTGTTCATTTTTTTCTTAAACCATTAGACAAATAGGTGAAGTATACAAGTAAATAGCAACATTGGAAGAATAAAGTTTTTTGATAATCCAGTAAATTAATTTATACCATTTACTGACCTAGTTAATGTAGAGGTTATGGAGTAGTAGAACATCTATCATTCTTTATTTGTTCTCCTGTTATTTATTTATCATTACTTTATTGATTCTCCTGTAATGTAAGCCTTACTGTGCAGTAATTGCACTTTGTCAAACACCTTATTTTTCTAGTTTAGTTAAGAGTTTTGGGGGGGATTTTTTCCAATCTTATTGAAATATAATTGACATACATCACTGTTTAAGGTCGAGGTATACAGCATAGTGGTTTGGCTAACATGTATTGTGAAATGATCACTGCAGTAAGTTTAGTTAGCATCTATCATCTCACATGGATACAATAAGAAAATGAAGCAAAAAAAGAGAAAAGTTTTTTTCCTTGTGATGAAAACTCTTAGGGTTTACTCTCAACTTTCGTATAGATCATACAGCAGGTTAACTATAGTCATCATGCTGTACATTACATCCCTAGTACTTATTAGTCTTGTAACTGGAAGTTTGTACCTTTTGACCACCTTTCTCCAATTTCCCCTCCCCCCGTCTCACACCTCTGGTAACTACAAATCTGGTCGCTTTTTTCTGTGATTTTGGTTGGGTTTTTTTGTTTTGTTTTGTTTTTTAAGATTTCACATTTAAGTGAGATCATACAGTATTTGTCTTTCTTTGGCTTATTTCACTTTAGCATAATGTCCTCAAGGTCCATCCGTGTTGTTGCAGACGGCAGGAGTTCCTCGGTTTTTCTTATGGCTGAATAATATTCCATTGTATATATGTGTGTATAGGGGTGTATATATATATATGTACATACACCACAACTTCTTTATCTCTTCATTCATCGATGGACACTTAGGATGTTTCCATGACTTGGCTGTTGTAAATAATGCTGCTATGTACATGGAGGTGCAGATATCTTTTCGAGTTAGTGTTTTTGTTTCCTTCTGATATATTCCCAGAAGTGGAGTTGCTGGATTATATGGTGGTTCTATTTTTAATTTTTTGAGGATCCTCCATACTGTTTTCCATAGTGGCTGTACCAGTTTACAGTCCCACCAACAGTACACAAGGGTTCTCTTTTCTCCACATCCTCACCAGCATTTGTTGTCTCTTATATTTTTGATTATGGCCATTCTAATAGGTGTGAGGTGATATCTCACTGTGGTTTTGATTTGCATTCCCCTAATGACTAGTGATGTTGAACGCTTTTTCATGTGCCTATAGGCCTTGCATAGATCTTTGAAGAAATGTCTACCCAGGTCTTTTGCCCATTTTTTAAATTGGATTATTTGGTTTTGGGTTTTTTTTAGTGAGGAAGATTGGCCCTGAGCTAACATCTGTGCCCATCTTTCTCTATTTTGTGTGTGGGATGCTGCCACAGCATGGCGTGATGAGCGGTGCGTCAGTCTGCACCTGGGATTCGAAACTGGGAACCCCAGGCCCCCAAAGCAGAGTGCGTGAACTTAACCACTACGCCACCTGGCTAGCCCTGGATTATTTGATTTTTTGCTCTTGAATTGTATGAGTTTTTTATATATTTCAGATATTAACCCCTTATCAGATATATGGTTTGCAAATGTTTTTTCCCATTCCATAGGTTGTCTTTTCACTTTGTTGATTCTTTTGCTGTGCAGAAGCTTTTTAGTTTGATGTAGTCCCATTTATTTATTTTTGCCTTTGTTGCTTGTGCTTTAGGTGTCATTCCCAAAAAATTACTGCCAATACCCATGGCAAGAAGCTTTTTTCCTATGTTCTCTTCTAGGAGTTTCACTGTTTCAGATCTTAGGTTTAAGTTTTTAATCGATTTCGAGTTAATTTTTGTGGGTGGTGTAAGAGAGGAGTCTAGTTTCATTCTTATACATGTGGATATCCAATTTTCCTAGCACCGTTTATTGAAGAGACTGCCTTTTCTTGATTGAGTATTCTTGGCTCCCTTGTCAAATATTAGTTGATAGTATGTGCTTTCTGGGTGTATTTCTGGGCTCTCGATTCTGTTCCCTTGATCTATTTATCTGTTTTTATGCCAGTACCATACTGTTTTGATTTCTGTGATTTTATCATATATTAGCTAGAGTTTTTCCCATCAAACAGCCATCTATTCTATTAATTCTACTTTGTACTGCAGCGCAAACTGGTGTTTCTGGGCAAGACTACAGAATCCCAGCACATTCAACCTGAGGTTCCATTTGTGATATGAAACTGCTGTAGTGTTTTCAACAGCAGTTTTATCCAAAGTGCAGAATTTACTGAAATTACCTAAACTTTTATTTTTCATTTAGGTTACTTACAGCAGGAAAACCTCACTTCTACCTGCCAGACTTTTATTTTGGAAAGTTCAAATTTAAAAGAATATGCAGAACACTGTACAGATGAAGGTTTTATCCCAGCCTGCTTATTGGTGAGTGATTTTGTTCCTTAAGTGAAATATTTCATCATTGACCAATATAAGAGACTATAAACACAGTCTTAAAATCAGCTCATTAGCAAAGTCAAAATTGGCAGAAATATGATAGTTTGTGTTCATGCATGACTGGGAAGACCCAAAGAAGGCCAGCTCTTCTTTTCACACATTAATGCAAAGCTGGTAAGTGAATTACAATTTTGCCTCTGAGAATCAGTTTCAAAATGACACCTTTATTTCTAATTAGTTTCACTACTGCTTGTGTTCAGGCTTAACTCGTTTCTGCCTGTTATGGACTGAATATTTGTGTCCCCTCAAAATTCATATGTTAAAATCCTAACCCCCAGTGTGTTGGTATTTAGAGGTGGGACCTTTGGAAAATAGTTAGGTTTAGATTAGGTCATGAGGTTGGGACCTTCATGATGGAGTTAGTGCCTTTATAAGAAGTGGAAGAGAGAAATCTCTCTCCTTGTGCACCCACCAAGGAAAGACCATATGAGCACCCAGCAAGAAGGGTGATGGCTACAAACCAGAAAGTTGGGCTTCTTGAGGAACCAAATCAGCTGGCACCTTGATTTTGGACTTCCAGCCTCCAGAACAATGAGCAGTAAATGTCTGTTATTTAAGCTACTTGGTCTGTGGTATTTTATAGCAGCCCTACCTTTCCTGTATCTATTTTCCTATATTTCCTGTATTTGTTCACTTCAAACAAATATAAAACAGGTTTTTTGTTATTTTGTTGTCACCTCTTTTTTAAATATCACTAGACCAACAGAGCATCATTTGGTATATAATGGATATATTCTGGAACTACATTATTTGAAATGGTATTTTGTCATTTTATTTTAAACATGGCTCCTTAGATTCGTTTTAGCTATCACAGACAACATGATTGTATGTGAAGAAAACTTTTAAAAAATTTATAAAACTTTTAGAGTTTAGAAAGATCAAAGGATACAAAATATACAAATGTCTATTGTATTTCTTTATAGCAACAATGAACCATTGAATTTTTTTTAAAAATACCATTTACAATAGCACCAAACAAAAATAAAATACTTAGGTAATGAATCTAACAAAATATTTATAGGATCTGTATGCTAAAATCTACATGAAAGAAATTAAAGCATTGAATGAAAGGAGAGATATACTGTGTTCATGCATTGAGAAACTCAGTATTGTTAAGATGTTGATTCTTCCCATTTTGATCTATAGATTCATTATAATCTAAGTCCCCACAAGCATTTTTGTAGATAGCAACAAGCTGAATTCTAATTTTTTTTTTTTTTTTTGGTGAGGAAGTTTAGCCCTGAGCTGACATCTGTTGCCAACCTTGCTCTTGTTGCTGAGGAAGATTGGCCTGAGTTAATGTCTGTGCCCATCTTCCTCTATGGGGGATGCTGCCACAGCATGGCTTGATGAGCGGTGCATAGGTTCGTGCCCAGGAATCGAACCTGCGAACCCTGGGCGGCTGAAGTGGGGCACGCGAACCCAACCACTACACTACCGGGCCGGCCCCTGAATTCTAAATTTTATATGGAAAAGCAAAGGAACTAGAACAGCCCAAACAATTCTTAAAAAGGACTTGGAGGACTCACATTACTTGATTTTAAGCCTTACTAACAAGCTATAGTAATCAAGATTGAGTGGCATTAGGGAACGGTTAGGCACTTAGATCAGTGAAACAGAAAAGAGAGCCCAAATATAGACTGATACACTGATTTTGACAAAAGTGCAAAAGGCAATTCAATGAAGAAAGGATAATCTTGCCAACAAATGGTGATAGAACAATTAGACATCCAGATACAAAAAAAGAATCTCTATACATACCTTTTACAAAAATTAACCAAAATGGATAATAGACCAAAATGTAAAATGTAGAACTATAAGACTTTTAGAAGAAAACAAAGGAGAAAATTTGTGTAACCTTGGGTTTGCAACGAGTTTTTAGATATGATAGCAAAAACACTGACTATAAAGGGAAAAGTTGAGCCCTCATGGGCTAGTGGTTAAAATTCCAGTGCTCTCACCACTATAGCGGCCCGGATTTGGTTCCTGGTTGTGGAACCACACCACTCATCTGTCAGTTGGCATGCTGTGGTGGTGGCTCACATAGAAGAACTAGAAGGACTTATAACTAGAATATACAGCTATGCACTGGGGCTTTGGGGATGGAAAAAAAAAAAGAGAGAAAGATTGGCAGTAGATATTAGCTCAGGGTGAATCTTTCCCAGCAGGAAAAAAAAAGGAAAAATTAATAATTCACCTTTATAAAAATTAAAAACTTTTGCTTTACAAGGGACAACATTAGAAGAATGTCAAGCCACAGGCTGAAAGAAAATATCTGTAATTCATATATCTAATAAAGGATTTGTACCAAGAATATGTAAAACTTTTAAAATTCAAAAAAAACTGAATTTTTTTTTTAATGGGCAAGAGATCAGAAGACTCTTCCCTAAAAAAATATACACATGGCAATAAGCATATGAAAAAAATGCTCCACATCATTAGTCATTAGGAAAATGCAAATTAACACCCTGATGAGATACCTATATATACCTATTAGAATGGCTAAAATAAAAAACAGTTTAAAAACTGTCAGATCCTTGGTGGCAAGGCTGCAAAGCAGCAGGAACTCTCATTCATTGCTGGTGAGAATGCAAAATCATATAGCTGCTTTGGAAAATAGGTTGGCAATTGTTGATAAAATTAGACATATACTCCCCATGTGACCCAGCACTCATACACCCAGATATTTACCCAAGTAAATTGAAAAACTTGTGTTCACACAAAAACCTGCACACCAGTGTTTGTGTATGGTGGTCAAAAACTGAAAACAACCAAGATGTCTTTCAGTAAGTGAATGAATAAACAAGTTGTGGTATATTCATACAATGCAATGCTAATAAGTAATAAAAAGCAACATACTATTTATTCACATAACAACATGAATGAATTTTAAATAAATTCTTCTGAATTCTAAATTAGGAATTCAAAACAAATAAGTAAATATATTGTAGATAATGGGAGCCAGGTTTCTCACCCTACAAGAAGGAAGACACAAATAAGCGTAAGAATGAATCCTATGGTGTTGAATTATAGTCAGAGATACTAGTATGAAGTCATGTTTATTTTAATATACGAACAGATATATACAGAATATAGATATGTTTATATATATGGATTAGCATGTCTGTGTTTGTGTAGCTCTGTCTGCTCTGAGGGCCTGACTGCAGTAAAACCCCAGTAGCTACAAGCACACCTCGCACCCAGATCCTTACTTCTCACAGTTCTGGAGGCTGGGAAGACCAAGGTCAAGGTGCCCCTGATTTGGTTCTTCATAAGGGCTGTCTTCTGGCTTATAGACAGTCTCTCTGTGACCTCACATGAATTTGGGGGGATATGATTCATTCTGTGGCAGTCATTCAGCAATTCATTATTTATTTGCTACTAGAAATATGACCAAGTTAGTAGTAAGCAAATCCCCTAACTTCTCAGGCTTTAATTAAGACAGAAGAACAAATTAGGAATCTGCTGTCAAAGTTCAGGAAGGGAAAGGGAACTAATCACCTACTATGTGTTAGACATTGTCCTAGACGTGTTACATGGATTCTCAATCTTCAAAAGATTCTATGAATTAAGAATTATGTCCATTTTTATATTCATCAAAGTAAGCTTTAGAGAATTTAGGTGATTTGTTACACCTAATAAGTGTTGAACTTGAAACCAGAACTGTTCGCTCTAAAAATCCTTCCTCTTCCCTATTCTATTCTATGACTCAAACTTGAGGTAATAAAAGCATGCCCTTTAGTAGCAGTAGGAATAGGGGGAAAAAATGAGTTTATGAGATGATAGAAGTGAAAATAGAAAGGTACTGATCCTTGGGAAGGCTATCTCTAAGTTTTTTTGCTTTGTTCTTGACAGGTTCACGTGGTTTTCAGGATAGAAGGGGCAGATTAGGAGTGGGTCCTTATGTTTTTAAACAGGTGTATGACTGGATCCCTACCTCCCGGCTGAAAACTGCTTTTCTGCCTTTGAACTGTCTTAGCTAAAGAAATGTAGTCACAATGTCTTATTCAAACAGACAAAGTTCTTTACCTTTAGAATATCTGATGCAACCCCTAACTTGAGTAACTGTTTTCATTTTTGATGACCTGCTCTTTACCCTTTCTTCATCAGCCACTCTGCAAGCCAGGTCCTTTATTAACTTTTATGTGATGAAATGTTGCATACTGGGAAATTATTGGTAGTAGTATACAGTTTTGATAATGTTTGATCTTTTTCTTTTCAGTCCTTATTTGGAAATAACTTGACAACAATTTTGAATGAATATGTAGCTATGAAAGCAAAAGGTAAGAGTTTAGGTTCAGGGATGTTTTTGGTTAGTTTTTATATAGCATTTATCTAATTGTTTTAATTAAAATAATTTTTAAAGCATATTAATGCCTCTTAAAAGCCATAAGAAAACTTGTCTCAGTTATGATGAGATAAATTTTACTGGGAAATGTCTAATTAAATAGTTTGTGTTTATATTGTGTGATAAATTGCAAATCTAATATTAGATAATATAACAAAAAAATAATTTTTTTTAAAGATACGAAACTTCTAACTCTGGGTATCTACCCTGATGAACAGGCATTGCTATGTGTTAATAAAATTTCAAACTAATTTTTTTTTTTTAATTTTTTGTTTATTGCAGTAACATTGGTTTATAACATTGTAAAAATTTCAGGTGTACATCATTATACTTCTATTTCTGCATAGATTACATCATGTTCACCACCAAAATACTAATTACAACCCATCACCACACACATGTACCGAATTATCCCTTTCACCCTCCTCCCTCCCCCCTTCCCCTGTGGTAACCACCAATCCAATCTCTGTCCCTATATGTTTGTTTATTGTTGTCAAACTAATATTTTAATTTTAAGTTCTTTGTAGTCTAAATCTAGACACAGGAGCCAGTCATAAAATTCTACTTTATATTTACTAGAATATAAAATAATACTTTTTTAAATTAATGTTTTAGGGGGAAAGTTATAATTGTTTATTTTATTCCCTAATATTGATTATTTCAACATTAACAAAAGATTAGCAGTGAAGAATCAATTAGCATAAAATGATAACATTAAGGAAAAGAAAAAAGCTCATCATTTATTGAGTACTCTCTGTATGCAGCATCGTGCGAGGTGCTTTCATGTTATCTCTCAGTCTTTAAAATAATCCAGTGAGAGGTGTTGATTGTTTAGACCCATTTTTAAGTATCAGAAAACTGATGATTAGAGAAGCCAGATAACTTTTCCAAGATCACAAAACTAGAAACTATAGAAAGTAATAGGCCTGAAAGTTCAGGGCCTGAATTTCATTTCTAACTCTTCAAGAAGGGTAGTTGATCTTTCTGCCAGTTTTCTTTTCCCATAAAATCTTACAGAAATATTTAGAGTGTAAATGACATCAGAAACAATATACTATTGCAATACAGAGGTTCGTATCCCACTTGTATGTTGGGTAGCTTTCTCTGGTTTGAGTTTTTTGTAAGTATTTGGTAAAAATTTTAAATATCTTATGAATTTTCCCATCATTGGGGCTTTAGAATACATCCTCAAAAAGACTAATTAGTCCTCAGGAATTTTACCTCTAATTCTAAGTATAGTAACTAGTGAGACCTTTTTTAAGGGGTTGCTGAGTAATCACAGTGATTTGGACATGAAAACATCGGATGTAGAAAACTAATTTCAACACTCAAAGGAGTTTGCATAATCTTTATGCTAATTATTTATTATAAATCAAATTATTTTACTTTCAGATGTCACATGATGTCACATAGAACAAATATTTAAAATAGTTTGTCTTTTTTTAATTCAAAGAAGATATAAAATTATTGATCTGAAGAAGCTTCACAGATTTCACAGATGTCCATTTCCACTCATATTACATCTGGTAACTCAGTGGCTTAAGGAAGCAACCTCATAGCTTTGCAGGTCATTTTACAAAATAGACTTTTTTCTGTTCCCAACATGATGTCAACAGCTGAGAGAAATGTTTCTTTACCTTATTGACTTTCTGTCTGTTCAAATTAAATGATGAATTTTCTGCAACTGGATTTATTAAGAAACTTTTCTTTTTATGATTTAGAGACATCAAATGATGTCCCAGCAATCATGTCATCTCTGTGGAAGAAGTTAGACCATACACTTTCTCAGATCAGGTAATAAAAAACTTACAAACTTATCAGAATATGCATAATGTTGTAATGCAAACAGATGTAAGAATCACTTCAGGTTTAAATCTTCTTATGATCCACACAGTGCATTTATATAACACTGATTTAATTTGGAAATTACTCTAGAGGTTGTTGATATTTCTTTGTCTTTGATTAGAATAATTTGCAATAAATTGCATCCTTTAATAAAATGTTTAGAAATGAGGAAGTTGAGACTTAGAGAAGTGTAATGACACTCCCAAGTTCTCATAGCAATTTAGAGAGAAATCTCTGGCTAGAATACAAATCTAATCCTAATCTCGCATGAATACAAGTCTCCTAATTTGAGTCTGAGTCCCATGAATTCCGTTGTGCAGTTGCATCTTCATTACATGTGCGGAGAATTGATGTGTGGAATTCATGCCCCATTGGTTCTTCTCTTGGAAAGAAACAAGCTTGAATAATAATAATTCTGGAATCTTCTACTTTTAGAATTTTTACATGCTACTAATATCCACCTTCTACCTGAGTCACGGCCTTGGCATGCCAGTTTCAGCATTCTTGGAAGGAAGCCAGCCCTATTGGTATCAATTTTATAACATCTCTTATTTAACTATACAGTCTGATATGAAAACGATAGTTTCTTACTATTTATCCCACAGCTGCAAGTGAATATCCTACTCAAATTCAGCAGAGGCCTCATTTCCTTCCTCAGTTTAAAATGCTAAAACGGCTCCAAATGTTTTCTGTCCAGCTGTACCACATCTTATTTGGTAGTCTTACCTTTATTCCCCTTTCCTGACTCTTTTCTCCTCTTGCAAATAATCTTCAAAGACATTCACAATTTAATTCCGTAAATTCTTGTCGATGCAAATAATCCATAACTAATCTATAAATCAAAATTGGGGTGAGTTTATTATGAGCCAGATCTGAAGACCATATAGCCTGGGAGAGTCCTTTCACAAAGGAATGGAGCACTCCAAAGAAGTGGAGGTATCCAGAGTGGTTATATACTATCATAGAGCATGTATCACATATCATTGGAATGTCCCTTTTACAATAGTCACGAGGTTGCCTTGCTAGCACAGCAGTTCACACAGCAATTCGCTGAACACAGTGGGTCAGTAGTCTCAAGGTGGGTAGTCACAAGGTGAACACAGCAGGTCAGCAGTCAATCCTTAGTTTAGGGAGAGATGCTTATCCTTAAGGAATTACCAATGTGGGGGAAGTTACATCATTATCTTTAAGGGCGTTGTTCTTATCTTTGTGTTCTTATCTTTGGGACATAATAAATACTTAAAGCAGATATACAATGCATGCTCAACAGCCACATCAGGCCCTTTTGGAAAAACAAGTTCAGGCCAAATTAGTTTTACACCAAATGGTTTCCTCATATACTCCAATATCCTATTGCTTGTCATTTATTTATTTTAAGTAGAGATATTTTATTGATAAAATAGTACATGAAAAGAGAAGGCTCTTAGCCAGGTATTCTCCAAGATTGGTTTGTGTGTTATTAAAAATGCTTATTCGATTCATTAAGCTTTATGCATCTTGTTAGTAGAGACTTATTTGACAGATTTCCTAGGACAATGGCAGAGTGTCTGTAATTGTTTACCAAATACATGGATAACTCCAAATCATAGTAAAAGGAGAATCAGTACTATAAATATTTTTGTTTGCTCCTTCTTTAGAGGTTGGGTGAAATAATTTCATAGTCATAAATTTGATAAAAACAGGATGTCCTTTGAAATTACCTTTGGGATTCTGATGTATTTAGATGTGGAGTCATGTGAAATCAGAATTTCTCAGGGAAAGAATCTCTCTAGTTATAAAAGATAAATAATAATTGTAAAATTTTATACAGTCATGCACCACATAATGATGTTTCAGTCAGCAACAGACCGCATATATGACAGTGGTGCCATAAGGGTAGTACCATACAGCCCAGGTGTATAATAGGCTATACCATCTAGGTTTGTGTAGGTATTATAGGGGAGGAAGAAATTTTCCTCTGCCCTTCTAGGTTCTTCAGGATGGTCTAAGAATTAAATTGACATGAGACAGATTAACAGGAGAAAAAGAAACAAAAGTTTAATAACATATATACAGGGGAGAAACCCAGGAAAACTGAGTAACTCACCAAAATGGCCAGAGCCCTCATCTTAAATATCTTCAACTAAAAGACAGAAGATGATGCTGGGAGTGAGGAGAATCAGGGACTTCAAAGGGATGGAAGGCAATTCACAGGTAGGTGAAAAGGAGCAAACTTGGGAAAACAAGAGTTTGGCCCGCACAGAAACAGAACAGAGGGGAGCCCAACAAACAGGCTTTTCTAGGTTCCTCCCTGTCTACCACTTAGTTCATCTTATGCTGAGATGATAGCTCGCTTCCTGAGACAGTTTTTTTTTAATCTGAATTCTTTTAGGCAGTTAAGGGGCAGGTAACGAGAAAAACTTTGAGTCTTTTGTTTCTTAAAAATAATCAGCCTAAAATAATCCTCACGTTAAAGAGACACATTTTGCGGTGGCAAATTTTGTTCCTCTTCAGCGTACTCTGATGTTCGCGAAATGACCAAATGTCCTGATGCATTTCTCAAGATGTATCCCCATCGTTAAGCAACACATGGCTGTATATACCTTTCTTAAATATATTAAGTTCCTAAAGTCGAGTCAAATTGTATTCTTAATGGGACGTCAAGGCTCTCTAATGCATATTGCATTGGATAGAAACTTGATTAAAATTACGTGTGTGTGTGTGCACGCGCACTTATATGCCACTATTTTTCTCCTAAAGCAAATAAAATTTGGTTACTCCCCCAAAAATGTGCTTGTTTTTTTTGTCTGAGAGAGGTCTATTGCCTTTTAAATCATAATTTTCTTCGGGACTGACTATAGCTAAAGCACAGTGTATCTTGGCAACAGAAATTTTTTAATGTCTAACTTCTTTGTTTTATTTGTTAGGAGCATGCAAAGTACCCCAGGGTTTGCTGCCAGTCAGAGAGGTTGGTATTCAACTTTAAATTATAAATAATGTTTAGCATTAATTCAAACTCAAACCAACTGTCAGATGAACCTTTTAATTAACAATACATGTGTGCTAAGTATATATTTTGTTTATACTACTGCTTTTCTAAGTACGGTTATCATATTAGGAAATAATATTTTTTTATTGTAAAAATATGCATTTTAAATACTCCCTATTTTTCTCATTGGCTCTCATACGTTCACATCTTTTAATTCTCATTCCATAAGTTTGTTTCCTGATTTGTGGAGGTGTTATCAGTATGAATTATTACAGAAATGTACTCTTAGTTTTATTTTTTTTTTTTTTAAAGATTTTATTTATTTATTTTTTCCCCCCAAAGCCCCAGTAGATAGTTGTGTGTCATAGCTGCACATCCTTCTAGCTGCTGTATGTGGGACGCGGCCTCAGCATGGCCGGAGAAGCAGCGCGTCGGTGGGAGCCCGGGATCCGAACCCGGGTCGCCAGCAGTGGAGCGCGCTCACTTAACCACTAAGCCACGGGGCCGGCCCTACTCTTAGTTTTATAAAGTTTGAGCATACTACTCATTTTAGCTTGTTTCTTATGAAATTATCATGTAAACTTAGTTGATATTTTTAAGGGCTGTTTTTCAGTATGTAGAACTAACGTGTTAAATAGTAGGACATGTATCATGCAGACTTCTTAAATTCCTAAACTACTCTGACATTGAGTTAATTTTTTAAATGCTCATGTGTTTCAGCCCGAACAAGAAGTGGAATTGCAGAAATCAAACGGCAGAGAAGACTTGCATCTCAAGCAGCTCCCGTCAGTTCAGAGTTGCTGACTTTACCGTATCTTTCAGGACAGTTTACTACTTCTCCTTTGACAGCTACACAAGTTATTCGGCCAACTGGCCAAATTTCAGCTCCTTTGAGGTCAAATTTTGTAGTGGTCAACCATTCACAGTCACAAGACACAGTGACCAGTAAGTTTAAATTTTGCTCTTAAATTTTGTTTTTAATCGAATTATATACATGAGATGATATACTACTGTCTTTATACTCCTGGTATAAAATTATAGCAAAAAAAAAGATGAGAGGCTAGAAGTGGAAAAGACTTGAGGTAAATTTACCATGAAATAAGCATGTTATTAAATCTTGGAGACATTTTAATCTAGGATTCTTCTCATTTCTATTCTAACTGAAGTCCAACCTTGAACTCTTCTGGTTCTCAATTTTCTACACTAATAGGAAAGACTCTGTTATATTTAGTTTTAAAAGAAATACACGTTATATTTCACCACCTCCTTGTCTTTGTTCATGCTAGTCTGTTCTCTTGGAGTAAGGAATATTTTTCAGTTCACTTCTGTTTCTACATATTGAAAATCATTCATGTTCCTGGCTGAATCTTAGAGCTAGGGATAAACTTAGAGATCATCTGGTACATCTTGCTTGTTACTTGAAACTATGGAAAACACATGATAGTAAGGGGCAGAAAGCTAGTTAATAACAGAGTTGGGATTAGAATTGACGTGCCAGCTCTCTCAGTTCCTAGACCAACTTCTTTCTTTTCTGCACAGCTAAAATTTATTGCCTTCCATTACATTCTCCCTCATTTCCATCTTTTCTCCAACCTCTTTTACATGTCTGGGTAAAAACACTTAGTATATATACACTATGATATATACTTAGTTTATACTTCTTAGAATTCTTCCACTCCTGCCATACTATTTTTTGTTAAGATTATACTGTACTTTGTATTTTATTGTAAAACCTTTAATCACAGAGACTGTATTTTTTTTTTTTTTCGGTGAGGAAGATGGGCCTTGAGCTAATCCTCCTCTTTTTGCTGAGGAAGACTGGCCCTGGGCTAACATCCATGCCCATCTTCCTCCACTTTATATGGGACGCCGCCACAGCATGGCTTGCCAAGCCCTGTGTCAGTGCGCGCCTCGGATCTGAACCAGCGAGCCCTGGGCCGGCCCCGAGACTGTATTTTATTCATCTTAATGTCTTCCCCAGTGCCTTTCACATAGTAGACACTCTGTGTGCTAACTGATTTTAATATAAAATAATAATCATTTCATAATGCTTGTTCCATTAATTTAAGTTTAGAAAACTATTCAGTTTCCTTGACTTACTGCTTTGTTTTCTTGAAATGCAGCTGGAGAGGCTTTAAATATCATTCCTGGTCCTCAGGAAAAGAAAACTCAAGCCAGTTTAATGTCTCCTGGTAGACGCAAAAGGTAAATGCTCTTTAAAAGGACAAGTTTTATACAATAATCTTTAGGGGAAAAAAAAAATTATGCCAGGATATTTACATTGTGAATAAAACAACAAGATTGGATTACGTTCTGGGGATTATTTACTATTGTATCAATTCCAAAACACATTTTTCTCCCACATTGTAACTTCTCTAAAATCAGGTTGCGTCTTATAATCAATGGCATATCACTGTTTCATTGGAAGTATGTTTTTTGTGTTTTGGTACAGAAAAGTATATCTTAAAATTGATGTTATCTCAGATTTTTTACAGTAAGTGTTTTTTATTTTATTTACTTATTTATTTTATTTATTTTTGTGTGTGTGTGAGGAAGATCAGCCCTGAGCTAACATCTGCCAAACCTCCTCTTTTTGCTGAGGGAGACTGGCCCTGGGCTAACATCCGTGCCCATCTTCCTTCACTTTACATGAGACGCCGCCACAGCATGGCTTGCCAAGCGGTGCGTCAGTGCACGCCCAGGATCCGAACCGGCGAACTCTGGGGCTGCCGCAGCGGAGTGCGCTCGCTTAACCGCTTGCTCCACCAGGCCGGCCCCAGGTGTTTTGTGTTTTTTTTTTTTTTTTTTTTTTTTTTAAGACCGACTCTGAGCTAACATCCTTTGCCAATCCTCCTCCTTTTTTGTCCCCAAAGCCGCAGTAGATAGTTGTATGTCGTAGTTGCACATCCTTCTAGTTGCTGTATGTGGGATGCAGCCTCAACATGGCTGAAGAAGCAGTGCATCGGTGCGCGCCCGGGATCCGAACCCGGGCTGCTAGCAGAGGAGCGCGCACACCCAACCGCCAAGCCACGGGGCCGGCCCCCCCCCAGGTGTTTTTTAAATGGATATAAATAACATTGGCATATGTTAGGGTGTCCAAACACGTATTAGTGTTTGTAATAAAGTCCTAAATCCGTTGATAGAAATCTTTCAGGGACAGTCTTTTGGAAGAGTTCTTTTTGTCTTACTTAGCCCATGTGTCTTTGTTCGAAGGATATTTCAGAAAAGAGAGAAATTATTTTAAAATGTTTTTTCTGGGCCGGCCCCGTGGCTTAGCGGTTAAGTGCGCACGCTCCGCTGCTGGCGGCCCGGGTTCAGATCCCGGGCGTGCACCGACCCACCGCTTCTCCAGCCATGCTGAGGCCGCATCCCACATACAGCAACTAGAAGGATGTGCAGCTATGACATACAACAATCTGCTGGGGCTTTAGGGGAAAAATAAATAAAATTATTTAAAAAAAAAATGTTTTCTCTGATTTCTCAACTGCCATGCCGTGAGTATTTTTGTTGGAGTTTTTACTCTCGGTTGTTTCTCATTCAAGGCTGACCTCAGCCTCCTTTATGGCAAGCTTTCTCACTTAGCCACATAAAATAGTAAAACAAGTATAACAGTATCTAACGTTTATAGGAAACTTGACATTTTTGTGATGTATTTATATATACTTTATTTCATTCAGTTCTTTTACAAACCCAATAAGGCAGTTGGTCTTATCCCATTGTAAAGTGGATCAGAGGACCAGAGCTTACGTTGCTACAGACCACATAGCTAAAAAGTGGTAAAGCTAGACCTCAGATTTGTTTTGTCTTAATTCAAGTCTAATAATGCTTTTCTACTCTATTGCCCTTTGTTCCTACCACAAATAGGAAAAATATATTTTCTACCATGATATTAAGATTTATGTCTGTATATGTAATTGTCAATGAATCTGTTATTCATACCAGTTAAAAGACAAGCTCTTAAAATGTGTTTCAGTGAATCTCAAAGGAAAAGTATCACTTTGTCTGGGCCTCATTCAACCATACGAAATTTCCAGGATCCAAATGCATTTGCAGTAGAAAAGGTAAGTGACTTTCCCAAACTTTGCAACGTGAGATTTTCCAGAATTTTAAAATATTGATATATACACAAATGTGTGTATATTTATATGTGTGTGTGTTTAATTTAGTATTTCTATAAGACTGTGCAGTCGAATTGCCTTAGGATATAGAGAGTAGCAAAGTTTAACAGTAGGAGACAATCCGTTCAGAATAGATCGCATGTGCAGATGCACCAAGTAAGAAAATGCAGTTTGTTTAGGAAACTGTAAATAATACACTGTTGTTGCTGGATTATACAATATAATAGGGCACTTGACTGGAGTCAACAGTATTAAAAACCTTGTATGAAAAGCTAAAGAGTTTGGAACTGTATTCTGTAGTGAGTGAAGAAAAAATTGGTGAAGGGTCTGTGAAAACACTTGTAAAGTGTACTATTCAGGTGTTAATATGGAGGGAGCCACCATAACTTCTGAGTTTCCACCTAGATTTATTAAAACCATCCGGCTTCTAATAGTTGGTTCTTTTTAAATAAATGATACTCTATCCTATCCTTTTACTAATATTGACTTTCTTTTCCAGCAAATGGTTATTGAAAATGCACGAGAAAAAATTTTAAGCAACAAATCTCTTCAAGAAAAGCTTGCAGAAAACATTAATAAATTTTTGACTAGGTAAGCTATGTATGTTTAAAATGCCTGGGGCCTGCCCGGTGGCGCAGCGGTTAAGTGTATGCGCTCCACTGCAGCAGCCCGGGGTTTGCAGGTTCGGATCCCGGGCGCTCACTGACGCACCAACGCATGTCAAGCCATGCTGTGGCGGCGTCCCATATAAAGTAGAGGAAGATGGGCACTGATGTTAGCCCAGGGCCAATCTTCCTCAGAACAAAGAGGAGGCTTGGCGTTAGATGTTAGCTCAGGCCTGATCTTCCTCACACACACACAAAAAATGCCTAATTGTTTTTGCCTAATGAGAACTGTGCTAAAAATTTTTCTTTTTGTATTACAGTGACAACAATGTTGCTCAAGTACCTAAGCAAACAGATAACAACCCTACTGAACCAGAGACTTCAATTGATGAACTCCTGGGGCTTCAGGTATGGGTAATGGTGTGTGTATGTGTAGTATGTATACTCATAGTTAAAACTGATGGCATTTTGGTTTTATTTCAAAACCATTGCCAACAGATTAGATGTATAAAATGATTTAAAATAATAATTTAAGATATAGAATTCCTTCATTATCCAAATGTAATCTGTTCCTGAAAATGTGTTAGTGAATTTTCAGATAATCAGTCAAAGTTACATTATTTCTTTTCCAGTTTTATTGAGAAGAAATTGACATACCTCACTGTATAGTTTAAGGCCTACAGCATGATGGTTCGATTTACATATATTAAAATTGCATTATTTAAATAGTAAAAGTAATAAGACATTCCTAACCCATCTAATAACTCAAACGAGCTCTTCCAGATGTCAGTAAAACACTTTTCTATATCTATACAACAATCAGTCATGGATCTGTAAGTATTTAATACTTGAAGATTCATTCATGGGTGTATTTGTGTGCAATAAGCAACAATACTGTACAGTGTATATATAATAAATTACATTTCTCCTACACTGCTACAAACAATGAAAAGAAACAATGAAATAATATGTTAAAGATACATAATGAATCCAAGTAATATTTAACAATAAAGTGAACAAGACATTTTAAAAAAGAAAGGTTACTAACTAAATGAATAATTGTCTGTGTGAGATTTACTGCTGAGAGAAGAAAGATGGGGGCTATAGTCACTGTTGCTATTCAGTGATAGTGAAGATGAAACAGGGTGAGCTAGTAAAGGAAAAATTTAACAATATATGTTTTAAGATTTGTCCATGTGCAAATGTGCTTTTTGAAGAGCAGCTGAGATTGTGACTGTAGCACATTCTTTCACTTGGGCTCTCAGACAACGTAATAATTTTTGTTGCCTTGCCCACATATTAATGAATTCATTCAACAGATTCTCTTTCAGATGATGAATTCTGGGTAAAACTACGGATTTTTTTTTTCTTTTTGTCAGTTCTTTCAGAATACTTTTTTTTAAAAAACCATTTGATACGTTTTCCCATAGTGAAATTCAGTAAGTTTAACAAAATATGACAAGCTTTTTACTATTTTTATTTTTATTTTTTTATAATTTTTATTTATTTATTTTTTTCCCCCAAGGCCCCAGTAGATAGTTGTATATCATAGCTGCACATCCTTCTAGTTGCTGTATGTGGGACTTGGCCTCAGCATGGCCGGAGAAACGGTGCGTCGGTGCGCACCCGGGATCCGAACCCGGGCCGCCAGCAGCAGAGCGCGCGGGCTTAACCACTAAGCCACGGGGCCGGCCCACGACAAGCTTTTTAAAGCAACCTTTAAATTATCTACCAGGGCTGGCCCCGTGGCTTAGCGGTTAAGTGCGTGCGCTCCGATGCAGGCGGCCCGGGTTTGGATCCCGGGCGCGCACAGACGCACTGCCTCTCCAGCCTCGCATGGCCACGTCCCACATACAGCAACTAGAAGAATGTGCAACTATGACATACAACTATCTACTGGGGTTTTGGGGGGAAAATAAATAAATAAATAAAATTATAAATTATCTACCAGTACTTCTTTAAAATGCCTCTCCTATATTAATGTTTAACAAATACATATCCCCTGTTCTAAATTCTTATAGTCTCCAACTCCTTGCATATATTTTCTTCACAAACGTATCAGGTGCTTACCATAATCAAGTTACTCTGTTAGATACTGTGAGAAATTATAAGAAAGCAAAGACACAACCCTCTACTCTTGGTTGTTCATAATATGATATATTTGGGGAAAATTAAAAATTCTGATTTAAATAACTTTTTAAAAGAACAGCAAGACATAATGCCCAACTGAGTAGTATCTGCATCAGCTTCACTAAGAAGTGAACAGCCAGTTCTATACCTAGGTGAAGCAGGAATTTTTAATATACTTACAGGTCTTTGTGACCTTGGGATAGGCAGGATTTCTTAGGATATACAAATCACTATCTATAATTTAAAATAAAGGCTTCCTTAAAATTTTAAATGTCTTCTTATTAAAAGCATCATTAAAGAAAACTAAAAGGCAAACTACCAACTTGGAGAAAATAATCATAATATACCTGGCAAAGAATTTGTATCCAAAGTATATAAAGAGTGCCCACAAATCAATAATAAAAAGGTAAACCACTCATTTTAAAAAAATGGGTGAAATCAGTGGAACAGTCAAAAGAAAATATAGGAATGGCTAATAAGCCCATGGAAAAATAATCAACATTATTTGTCATTTGGGAAATAAAAGTTAGAAATATGAGATGCCATTTGACACTCACTAGAATGGCTAAAATGAAAAAAAAATCTGACAACACCAAATGTTAGCAAGGATGTGAAACAACTAGAACTTTGAAAAATTGCTGGTGGAGAATGTAAAATAGTACAGCCAGTTTGGAAAACTGACAGTTTATTACAAAGTTATATATATACCTATACACCTACCTTATGAGCTGGCAATTACTAGGTTTTTACCAAAAAGAAATGTTTGTTCACATATGTTCACAAAAACACTTGTACAACAATGTTCGTAGCAGCTTTATTCGCAATAGACAAGCACTGAAAACAAACCAAATATCCGTCAACAAAAAGGAATAAACAAATTTTGACATAGTCGTAAAATAGATTACTGAACAATAAAAACAAATGAACTATTAATACACATAACAACATAGATGAATCTCAAAAATATGTTGCTCAAAGAAGTTAGGCACAAAAGAATGCATATTGTATAATTCCATTAATATAAAGTTCTAAAACAGGGAACACTAATTTACGCTGATAGAAATCAGAAATTGTTGCCTGAATGAGAATAAGGGAAGTGATATCCCAGGGGTAGGAATTCTCTAGAAAGGAGAATGGTGTATGTGGGTGTGCGAATTTCTTGGGTGCGATGGAAATGTTCTACATTTTTATTTTGATTGAGGTGATGGTTACACAATCCTGGATGCCTGGATAAAGATTTTCATTGTAGTATTATTTACTGTAACTGAAAATTAGGAAAAATTCAGACATCCACCAGTGGGAATTGGTTAAATTGTGGCATGCAATTTGTGGTTATGCAAACAAAAATGTCAGTTACAAGGAGTCTCCTTTCCTTTAAAAAGATAGTGGAGGGCCGGCTCCGTGGCTTAGCAGATAAGTGCGCGCGCTCTGATGCTGGCGGCCCGGGTTCGGACCCCGGGAGCGCCCCGAGGCACCACTTCTCCGGCCAACGTGAGGCCGAGTCCCACGTACAGCAACTAGAAGGATGTGAACCTGTGACATACGACTATCTACTGGGGCTTTGGGGGGAAAAAACTGAATAAATAAAATCTTTGAAAAGATAGTGGATTAAACTTTTAGTTTTGTACCCTACTACTAAAAAGACAGTATAGGGAATTTTTAAAAAGCATAAACCGACAAGGACAAAGAAGAGAAGAGGGCAGGACAAAAAAAATTTTTGGAAGTCGAAATGGACAAGTGGTATCTGCCTTAGCAGACCCAGGATTCTAACCCATTAAAGGCAAAGCTCAGGTAAAAGCTGCCTTAACAACACAGAAATCCCGAAAGGCTTGGCACCAGTATCTCTGAAAGTAAATGTAAAGATAGGACTACAAACAGGATGATAAGGTGCAAAATTTAGGAAGTAGTTAGACTTCGTATCTTCTCCCCATTCCACACTGTCCTCCAGAAACACTGTTGTCAGTCATAAACTCTCCCAGCAAGAAATCTAACTCAATGAAAAGAAGAAAACTGAAAATACAGATGGTTCTGTATGATTATTCTACAGCTTAGATTGTAGTTGACAAGCTCCCCCCATTAGTACAGTTTGCAGGTAGCTTTTGGCATGAGCCAAAGTTTTAAATATGAGGAGACAAGCAAGGATTGTCCAACATTTGAAGAAAGCATTTAATATGAAGAGACCAAAGTAGACAGATAAAAGGCGTGAGATAGATTTACACTGGAGGATCTAGAAAGCAGTGTACCTTAAACTGTCAGGAAAGCAGATTAAGTAACATTACAAAACCAAACTCATAGAAAAAGAGACCAGATTGGTGGTTACCAGAGGTGGGGGTTGGGGAGTGGGAGAATTGGATGATGAGGGTCAGAAGGTACAAACTTACAGTTATAAGATAAATAAGTACTGAGGATGTAATGTATAGCACAGTGACTACAGTTAACACTGTTGTATGGTATATTTGAAAGTTAAAAGAGTTAATTCTAAGAGTTCTCACAAGGAAAAAACCATTTTTTTCTTTTCCTTCTTTTTTTTTTTCGTTTTTTGTGAGGGAGATCAGCCCTGAGCTAACATCCGACGCCAAGCCTCCTCTTTTTTTTGGCTGAGGAAGATTGACCCTGGGCTAACATCCGTGCCCATCCTCCTCTACCCTATATGGGACACCGCCACAGCATGGCTCAACAAGTGGCACATCAGTGTGCGCCCGGGATCCGAACCTGTGAACCCCAGGCCACCGCAGCAGAGCACGCACACCTAACCGCTTGCGCCACTGGACCAGCCCCTTCTTTTCCTTTCTTTGGTGTCTATATGAGATGATGGATGTTAACTAAACTTACTGTGGTAATCATTTCACAGTATATGTACATCAAGTCACTATGCTATAAAACTTATACAGTGCTGTATGTCAAGGAAAAAACGTATCATTTTATTTTATATACATAGATATAATTCATATGTTCATTTTATTTTAATGTTTGGAAATGTATTCACCAAAGTGGTTAACTCTAGGAAGTAGAAGTAGGGAACACTTTCTGTTTTCTTAGTCTTGTTTTAAATGAGCATAGTGTTAGAAGGAATTTTCTTGGAGAATACTTCTGCATAAAAAGTCAAAAATATAACATGTCCTCTAATTATTTTGCTGGTTTTGAACCATATTAATTCAATTAGGATCACTCTTTCTTTTTGCAGAGTGAAATCCACATGTCTGAAGAAGCTATACAGGATATATTGGAACAGACAGAATCAGATCCAGCATTTCAGGCACTCTTTGATCTCTTTGACTATGGTAAGTAGACCATTTCTTTCAAGGCAATTAGAAGAAAAACGTTTCTCCAGTTTCTTTGGCAACTTAACCAGAGTGAAGCAACATTCCCCAGGGCTTCTGAAAAAAGTTCCTATTTTCGTTAAAGCAAACATTATATGGATATGAAAGGGTTTTTTGTTGTTTTTGTCTGTCTGTCTGCTTTTTTCTTAAAGAAATTTTAGCTGTGAAAATGGAGAACAGTTGTGTTTTGTTTCTGTGGGCATTTTTGCCAGTCAGTACAAATGTGTTGAGGTCTACTACTGTACACACATACTAAACACAATTGAATAATACAAAAGGAATCCAAAAATTGGCCATTGCCCTCAATCTTATGGCCTAGTACAATAGTTCTCACAGTGTAGTCTCCAAACTAGCACTACCAACATTATCTGAGAACGAGTTAAAGATGCAAATTCTTGGACCCTCCGGGTGATTCTGATATAGGCTAAAGTTGAAGAATTACTGGTCTGGTGGAAAAATCATATTTGTCAGTGATATATAAGGCAACATGTTAAAAACATCCAAAAGAATAATTAAAACCAAAATTTAACATTTCCTTGACTGCTGTCAAGCTATATTAATTGATGCTTATTTTTATTTTGGTCATTTAACCAATTGTTTCCTTGTTCCCTTTTAACAGGTAAAACAAAGAGTAATAAAAATATATCACAAGGCATTTCCGGTCAGCATATGGAAACCAATCCCAATGTAATCTTAGAAGATGAAACTAATCTAGCAGTTAAAGGTTCTTTTGAAACAGAAGGATCTGGTAAGAATTTTATTTTGTTAATATCAATCCAAATCCAAATATCAATCTCAGAATTTCTAAGGCAGAAGATAATTGTTTAATTTGGAAGTTGTTCACATTACCACGTAAGTCATTTTTGTATTTCTAGTTTTCTCTTTTATTTAAAGAAAAAAAACATTACTCCCAAGCTTTTACTGCTTTAAAAGGTGAGTTTTTAGTACTCTTTGTTTCATGATGCAGTAGATTCTTGACATGCACAATTTGGTATTAATTGGTAAAATTGGTAAAACCAATTTGACAGAAGTTCATAATGTTTAATATAATTTTTGGAGGCACAAATTCAAATCCCTAATATGTAAGGTTTGTATGTGGTATTACTCATTCAGCCTAGTAATCGAGTTCAGCTGACTGCTCAGTATCCCTAGCTCACTTATTTAGAGGAAATTATATACTGTAGTGATAGTCTGGAATGATGGATTTTATGAGGTTTTAGGTCATATTCCTATGTGTGTACTAAGTCTGTTCTTTACATTTCTGCCTGTCTTAGAGTACCAATATGGCACATAATGGGCCAAAGTAACTACATATTGAATGAGGGAAGGCAGTGAATATGTCCATCTTAGATCTTTTCAATATTTGCCAAATTTTTTAATTATATTTTTGTGAAATATAGCACACGTATGGAAGTGGACAATAAAAATGTGTATAGCTCATTGAATTACAGTCAAGCAAATACCCATATAACAATCTCTCAAGTCAAAAAATAGAACACCGTCAGCACCACAAAAACCTCTCTTCATATCCCTTCCCAATCACTATTCCCTCCATCTCTGTTCCTCAAAGATAACCATTATCCTGGCTTCGCTCACATTATCCTGGCGTCTCACACCTCTTGCTGAACTTTGTCCCTCTTGAGTACTACCTCTATCCGTTTCTGTCTACAACAAACTATGCCCAAATAATCTTTTGTGCTCATCTGTTCTTAAATGCCATTGCCCCCTGAAGGCCCCACCAAAAACCTAATGGCTTCCAAGTTTCATGTCATGTCTTCCAAAAACTAGTTTTGGGGTATCTCAGACTGTGTTCCTACTTGGAGTTCTCTGCCTATACCCAAGCTCAATCCTCCATTTCTTCTTAGGCTGTATTATAGTGGGATGTGGCTTGCTATGTATTATGTGTGGAAGATTGTGCTTCAGTTAAGCTCCACCCTGCACAAAATGAAACTTGAAATACTGTTTTCTCAAAGTCTTTCAACTTCATTGAAACTGACTACCCCCTGAATTTATGTGGCCTGGACGTGATTTCCACTAATCTCCCCACAGTAAGATTTGAATGTGCTCTCTACCCAATATTATTTTACCAGTGTCAAGTCACATTAACAGAATTATATGATAGTCGATACACATTTTTCTAAATTTTTCCCTGTATTTTTCATATTATTAATTGTTAACATTTTCTGTCCTAAATTGTGAATGCTACATGACATTTACTATATCAGTGCTGGTATTTTCTGAAATGCCCTTTCTTCTTATTCCAACTCCTACACTTTTTGTCTTTTTCAAGATCTCCTCATATAATACCTCCTTTATAACACTTGCACACATCCCGTAGGCAGAAAGAGATGCCTTTTGTTCCTATACTATTACAGTTTTTACCATGTTTTATTATGACTTTCTGTTCTATATCTGCTTCCCTTACTAGACTGATATCTCCAAGGGGAGAGACTGGGTCATTCATCTTTGTGTCCCAGTGCCAATCATATGGTTGATCGTCCATAAATGTTGAATGTTAAACAGTACACAGTAACATCAAATGTTGATCATGCAAAATGTACTTGGCCCCATTTCACCTTTAAGAATGTATCAGATAAAGGCAAGTCAACAGAAATGGTAGAAGTTTAAAAGTCAACTGTTCTGAAGAACAACAGCATGTTTAGAGCCAGTTTTTTACATACTGGTAAATATTAGATGTTCTTAAACCTATATATTTTTCCTTCCTTGCGTCATCTGTTTTCCAAGAAGCTTGAAAAACAATTTGGCACTTGTTTAAAAAGACATCAGTAATAAAAGTACCCCTAAGTTTTCGATGCTCAGAAAATGAGAGATATAGTTTATCAGACTTCCACTTACTGGTATTTCAAAGATTACTTCCTTGGCAAAATAGGTTTTACAGTAAAGATGACTACCTCAGAAGCTGCACATACTCACCATATCTTTCTACCATCCTGATATTTTGCAGGTGATCAATCTGGTCAGCCCTCATTTTGTACATCCTATCAAAATGAAGACACATCAAATGCTCTGAAGAACGGTAGCAACCATGATGAGCTTAGACAGGAAGCTCAGGAACCTTTTTCCCAGACAGGCTCTAGCATGCAGAAAAAGGCCTTTAAAACAGTTGTATCTAATGAACAGAAGTGTAATCTTGATATTACCTTTGAGTCTGTGCCTAATTTGAATGACTTTAACCAAAGAGTAAATTCTGATGCTGAATGTAATCAGCATTGTGCTGAATTATATACTGATCAGATATCCACTGATGCTGAAATGGCTATGGAAGTTGAAAAGAATTCTTTGTCTGCAGGTGTGCCGAATGAATCTCAGTTACAGCCTGGTCAGTCTAATATACCAATAACTTCATTTGTTTCCCTTGGTGGTGAAAGTAACAATGAAAACTTAATTCTCTCTGGGAAAAATTCTCAACTTTTATCCCAAAACATTCCATTAACTGGAAATCCATCTAAAAAAAGTCAATTTTGTGAAAGTTCTAATAATACAGGAAGACTTAAAACTAATTTCCCTGGTTCCAAGTCACCAGATTCTAGAGAAATGCACCAGAGTAAAATTGAAATTAATAATGTATTACCAGTTGCATCACAGCAACTTTCAGATTGCCAAGATAATTCTTCACTTCAAAGTAAAATATTACCTGTGTCTGTTGAAAGTTCAGGTTTAAATGTATCTGAACAAGTAGAAATTCATCTTGGAGGTTCAGTATCTTCAGTTAAACAACCATCTAATGATTCATCATCTATTGAGTTAAATCATACAGAGCATGAAACTCAACCCTCCAAGTCTGAGAAAATTGCTTTGGATTCACAAGAGCATTCAGCTTCTATAAAAGAACATGGAGATAGTATTTTTCTCTCTATAGGTGAAAATGATAACTGTGGGGAAGTTGCATTGATGCCTCCAGAAGGTAATCCTGTAGAAGGGAGACATTCTCTTCCCTCAGAATCGGTGTGTTCTTCAATGGGAGAGTCTCACCCTGAGTCCCAAAATACTAGTGATAAACCTGCTAGTGACAACTCAACAGAGATAGATGCATCAAATATCGTCTCTCTCAAAATTATCATCAGTGATGATCCATTTGTTTCCTCAGATACTGAACTTAATAGTGCTGTTTCTAGTATCAGTGGAGAAAACTTGCCCACTATAATTTTGTCTTCTCCTGCTAAATCACCTGCCAAAAATGCAGAATTAGTTAAATGCCTATCTTCAGAAGAAACTGTAGGTGCTATTACATCTGCTGAAGGAATAGGAGACTCAGCGTCAATGGAACAGAGCCTTTTAGCACTCAAACCTGAAGACTCTGCAGTAAACAACACTCAGAATGAAGACAGCATTGGTTTTTCAGCCAGTGTTACACCATGCGTTTCCAAGGACGGAGGATACATACAGCTGATGCCAACTACAAGCACAACTTTTGGCAGTTCAAATAACATTCTGATAGCTACCTGTGTGACTGATCCAGCTGCCTTAGGAACAACTGTAAGTCAGTCTAATGTTGTGGTGTTGCCTGGAAATTCTGCACCTATGACTGCTCAACCTCCACCACCTCAGTTGCAGACACCACCAAGGTCAAACAGTGTATTTGCTGTCAACCAGGCTGTGTCACCCAACTTTTCACAAGGTAACTTTAAGAACAGTTAAAGTTCATTTCTCTGGAATGGGATCTAATTTCTCTTATCTGTGCAGCTATTGACTAGGAGGTAATAAATCATGGATAGATAGTATGAGAAAAGATTCTGAAATTTGTGATTATGCCTCCTCTTGACTCTAGCTAATTCATTCAGTCAAACCTTTTTTTAAATCTCATGGTAAGCTCTGGAATTTAGTGGTTTAATTTTTTACTTTTTCTTTCCGCCATTACTTCCCAGTCCATGTGCTAAGCTACAGAAAAGAGAGAGAGAAAAGAAAGACTGATTCATCAAAAAGCTTTATACCTACTATAACCAAATATGGGAGGTTTTTTTTTAAATAGCTATTGTAGTCTTAGTTTTCAAGGAAATTATTATCTATTTGGAGAGACTTGCAAGACACAGCTTGAATTTCTCCTTCTGTAAAAGCCTTTGTAATTTCTCACTGTCTTCCACCTTCCAGAATTGATCTGTGTCTTTAGAGTTCTCTGTCTGTAGGGGCATTTGTGGCATTTATTGCATGCCATTTTATATGTAGCTAGTGATTGACATGCCTGTCATATTGGTCATTCTTGATTGTATGTTCCTTGGAGGTAGAGCTTATGGCACATTTATGTACATTTCCTTATATATTGGTTCCCAAGCTCCTTTCCTCTCTTTTTTTACATTATAGGCATGCAGTAAAATCTGATTAAATATCAGCAATTAAGTATTAATATTAAGCCTGATGGATCTGTTTCAAGTGCTGTTTAAAATAAGATAAAAGAGGGGTCAGAATTGGTAGAGAATGTGAAACTGGAGCTGAAACTTAGAGAAATAAGGTAGTATTTGGAATAAAAGGAAGGGAGTCTAAGCAGCACAAGTGTAGGTAGGTATTTGAGAGACTAACGTAGGTGTTATGAAAGTGAGGAGATGAACCTGACGGGAGCAATTAGTGAATGTATTAGGAGAAGGTTCATTGACAGGGCAGGGCTAAATTATGATAGCCCGAGACTATATTGTTGACTTCTAAGGACCATATTAGCATAATTTCTCCTCATAGTTTTGACTGATTGCTCCCTTATCTGGATGCTTTTTGACCAGTACCATTGAGATAATAGGTTGGGGTTGTGAGCAAGCCTTGGGCTGTTAACATTCAGTTGGGACCCATAAGATTCAGACTTGAGACCTTCACCACCAATTTTCTAATCAGTTTCACTATTCTTTCTAGATGAGTGAAGATATAACTATAGTATGATCTGGCTGTAGAGTCTTATGCTCATTCATGACATTTACCCTGACTAAATGTGATAAGACTACTTCAATATTCAGATTGACTTTTTCTTAATTGGTTAGCCTTGCTGTTGTTTCTAAATTAAATTTTTTTAAAGGAGAGTGAATTTTAAGGAACAGGGATTATAATCTTGTAAAATTTATTTCAAATTAATAATTACTTTGGTGTCTTGTGTTTATGAGAGAAAACCTTATTTTATTGAGAATTGGTTTTTTTAGGATCTGCCATCATAATTGCTTCTCCAGTCCAACCTGTACTCCAAGGAATGGTGGGAATGATCCCTGTATCTGTGGTTGGACAGACTGGAAGTACCTTTTCTGCTCCTCCTCGGCAGGTAAGATTTATGAACTGAAAATGGCACAGTGACACTTTTCAAACATAGTATAATATTAATAATATAATTATTCTCTTCTAGGTCCTTCATATGCCTTTGGCAGCACCTGTATGCAATAGAAGTATCCCTCAGTTCCCCATCCCTCCAAAATCTCAGAAGACTCAGGGACTAAGAAACAAGCCTTGTACAGGTACATTTTTAAGTTCCTTAATGTCACCTTTATGTCTGTGTATTCCTTTGTTTGCAGCAACACCAGTATTTTCTTTTTGAATACCTATACCATTCCTAACAGGTGATTGTCCAACCTTTGCTGAAGATTTTTTGCAGTAATTAAAACAAAAAGATAAATGGAACAAAATAGGGTTTAGAAAGAGACCATGTATTTATAGGAACTTGTATGTGGTAGAGGTAGCATCAGAAGTCAGAGGGGATAGGATGGATTGTTTAATAAATGAAATTTATTGGCTATTATATATATTAAAGGAAAAAATTAGATCTTTTCCTCATACCATATACAAAGGTGAACTCCAAGATGATTAAAGACCTAAAAGTGAAAGATGAAACTATTAAACAATAAAAGAAGATGTAAGATAATATCTTAATGACACTGGGATGAAAGAATTGCTTTTTAAAAATGAAAAAAGCATAATTTATACATCAAAAAATTTGATAGCTGTGACTACTCAAAATTAAAGATTTCTCTTCAACAAAAACACCATATACAAAGTAACACCAGATTTTCATTCAGGGCCTTAATGAATATTACACCTAGTTCTCAGACTTCTCTACCTCAAACTTTTCCATCTTCATGAGTGACAAAATGCCCATGTTGTTAACCTACCAACACCCTCACTCTCAGTTCTTTGACCCCTTCCACTTCTACGTGTTTAATCTTCACTTTCAGCAAACTTCTCCTAGAGCTTCAGCTTCAATTTTTCACTACTTCTCATTAGCCCTATACAATTTTTAAAGGCCAATAACCTCTCTCAAAGTGCTCTCATTTCCATATATCCATTGACTCTCTCTTCAACCGATGAGAACTCCTATTACTTGAATCCTCATCTTTTCACCTGAACTTTCAGTTTCTTTCTGAATTCACTTCCTTCCCTAACCAGGCTAGACCTCACAATCTGCCACATCAGCCACTTGTCTCAGTACTCCTAAACACTTTGATATCCACTTTCTTCTGCCATCCTCACTTGCTACCCTGCAGCCCTGGATCTATCCAACCAACCATCTCTGCTTTTATACCTGGGCTTCTTAGCATCACTTTAGAAGTGGTGCCATTTGATACCACTTAAAAATTTCTCACACTCACTACCACTTAGCAGTCATTTTAAATGTCTACCTATCTTCTTTTCTCCCATTCCCCCTTCAAACTATTCCAGACTTTCACAGCTTTTCTCGAATTTATCCAATCCCTACCCTCCTCACTCTAGGCCAGTGATTTTATCTCTGGTTTATCAGTAGGAAACCATTTTCTCACATCACTCCCATTTATTGTGTACCTGTTCTAAAATCATTCTTTTTCTTTCTTTTTTAGAGAAGTAATTATCTCATTCTTTCTAGGGTTAATGCAATCTACCTGTGCTGTAGTAGATTATATCTTCTATAGATCTTCAACTTTTATTTTTTGGCTGCTTCCCTCTCTGGCTGTAAAGTTCCTTATGTTTGTCCCACCTGCCAACCCTTTGTTCCCAACCCCTTTTATCTCCCATTCCTTGTTCATCCATATTATTGTCTTTTCTCATGTTTCCACTAAGTCTGTTTAAACTAAGGTCACCAGTGGCCTCCTAATATTGCCATATGCATTGGACGTTTTCCATTCTTACTTTACTTCCCTCTAACAGTTGATACTGTTGTTGGCTTCTAGAAGCACCACTAAACTACTACACTCCTCCCTTTCTAACTTTATGTAACTCAAGACCTTCCAACTCTACGTATCTAAGTCTCACCTCTTCTTCTTCAAAGACCTGCTCTGCCTACTTTTTCCCCCTTGGTTAATGTCACCAAGGGGGACATTGATTCATCCTTTACCCTTCGTATCTGTGTGAATACCCATTACCGTATCTAAGATCTTCATCATCTGTTACCTGGAATATTTATAGCCAACTAACCAGAATTCCCTTTTCCAGTTTTCTTTCTTGTCTAGTCCATCTTCTATACTACTTCCAGAGTGACTTCCTAAAACATAAATCTATTCGTTCATCTTTCCTATTTAAAACTCTTGGGCCGGCCCCGTGGCTTAGCGGTTAAGTGCGTGCGCTCCGCTACCGGCGGCCCGGGTTCGGATCCCGGGTGCGCACCGACGCACCGCTTGTCCGGCCATGCTGAGGCCACGTCCCACATACAGCAACTAGAAGGATGTGCAGCTATGACATACAACTGTCTACTGGGGCTTTGGGGGAAAAATAAATAAATAAAATTATAAAATAAATAAAAAATAAATAAAAAATAAAACTCTTGAGGATTCTCTACGGAAACCTTTTGCATAAAACACAAGGTCCTTCATGATCTCATCTTTGCTTTCCTTTCTAGCTTCATATCTTGCTGCTCTCCCACATAAACTCATAAGTTTGTGGAAATTAAAATATGGCTATTAAAACTCCAGAGCATGTGTGCTAACATAGGCTTTCAAATATGACAGTTAAATGGGCAAAATTTTAAAACAGACATGATATATTGCTTTCTTTGAGTAACTTTCTGGATCTAAGTAGTACTGTTAAGTGCTGTATTGAGCATTGTAATTTGTAGATCCAAAGACTGGATTCGTTATATTTGCCTAAAGTCAAAGCAAGTCATTTGTTTCATATCTATATTTCCTCTGTAAAATGGATGAGTGACCATCTTGTATATATTACAAAGCTACTTTTTAAACCTAGTATGTGAAAGTATTTTTTTGTACATTAGCTGTCATTTAAAAATGTTTCTTATGATGTGTGATACTCTGGTCTGTTCCATTTTCTTTCAGAGGAATATACTTTCTCTCAGGGATGTTTTTCTTTTCTAATTAATTCATTTATAATTCCAGGAAAGCAGGTAAATAATTTGGTGGATTCTTCGAGTCATTTAGTTGGGTGTCATGCACAAAGGTGAGCGTAAAAGTAGTTTCTATCATAGATTATTTGAATGCTCAGATTAAAAACACACAAAGTTTCTTTATATTGCTAAAATTTTTTTTTGTTATAGAACTGAAGTTTCTGACAAGAATATGGCCACAGATCTTGGAAAAAAGTTGGAAGAAATCACAGTTCCCTTCTCAGTAGAGAGTATAGTTCCAATTAGCAAACCATTTGAAAGCCACAGACGTGTGCTCTGTTTTGATAGCACTGCTTCTCCTGTGGCAAATACACAGGGGACAAACCATAAGATGGTGTCCCAAAACAAAGAAAAGAATGACATTTCATTTCCTAATCTTGACTCCCCCATTGTGTCCTCCACCTTAAAACCCCCTTCTAATAATGCTCTCAAAAGAGAGAGAGAGAAACTTCCTGTGCCTAAGATTTTATCTAAATCGGAAGCTGCCATTAGCCGACATACCACCATAAAGGAAACTCAGTCAGAAAAGAAAATTTCACCAACAGAAATTGTACTTGAATCTTTCCATAAAGCAACAGCTAATAAGGAGAATGAATTATGCAATGATGTGGAAAGGCAGAAAAATCTAGAAACTTCAAAACTGTCTAATGGACAGCAAAATGGCGGTTTACGGAATGAGAAAACTATAACTTCACTGCAAGAACTAACCAAAAAACAAGGGACATCCTCAAACAGTAAAAATGTCATTTCAGTAGGTGCAGCTGTGAAGGATCTAAAGCAAGAACAAACCAGATCTGCCAGTTCTTTGATTAACCCACTAACCAAACATACTGCAGAAATGTTACAGGATGTTCAGTTGCATAGCCCAGTAAATAGGCTCGCTGATAGTACTGATTCACCTGTACCCCGGACATCTGGCTCAGGGGCAGGGGAAAAACATAAAGAAGAACCTACAGATGGTATCAAGGTCCCCTCTAGTAGGCGTTTCGGTGAAGATGGTAGCACACCCAAAGTGATGGTCCCTCCTGTCACCCCAGACTTGCCTGCCTGCAGCCCTGCCAGTGAAACAGGGAGTGAAAACAGTGTAAACATGGCTGCCCATACATTAATGATTCTCTCCAGAGCTGCCATCTCTAGGACTACTACAACAACTCCTCTAAAAGACAATACACAGCAATTTAGAGCATCTTCAAGGAGTACCACAAAAAAACGGAAAATTGAGGAATTAGATGAGCGTGAGCGAAACTCTCGTACTGCTAATAAAAGTCTTGCAAATTCATCAATACCAATGAAAAAGAAGAAGATTAAGGTAAGTTTGAAAGTCTTAATTTCAAAACCACACCTTTTCCCTTCCTTCAATGCTCAGATTAGAGATCTCAGCATTTTTTGCTATCACTACCGAAGTGAACATTCTGGTCAAGACAGCTTTGAGTTTTGATTGACAAAATACATTCTATAGCAATGTCTCTCAGCCAGTGTGGTACTCAGAAATTGTATGGGTGAAACACAGCATTTTCAAAGCAATTGCTAAGGCATTTATTTATAAACATCTTCCTTGGAAAAAGGAGGTTTTTGCTTCTGTCATAGTAGGACCCAGGTTCTTGGTGGGGGCGGGATGATGACATAAGGCATGAAGGATTGGAAAGCCTGTATTGTGTGTGGAATTACCAAGTAAAAAACTACTTTGACACCCCTGCATCTTGGGTTTTTTCTACATGTCCTACTATTTCTTCAGTAGGCCCTTACAGATGTTACTGTGTTGGAGCAGTGTAAAACTTAAATTTACCTATTTTTTGGGGGCTGGCCCAGTGGCTTAGCGGTTAAAAATGTGTGCGCTCGGCTGCTGGCGGCCCGGGTTCGGGTCCCGGGCACGCACCGACATACCGCTTCTCCAGCCATGCTGAGTCGGCGTCCCACATACAGCAACTAGAAGGATGTGCAACTATGACATACAACTATCTACTGGGGCTTTGGGGGAAAAAATAAATAAATTTAAAAAATTACCTATTTTTTCTTTAACTGTGATTATCTCTAAGAAGGCAATGCAGGGATAGCATTGATAAATGAAACCCATTTTTCCTGAATCTGTTTAGCCATTGAGTAAGTGGATTGAATAGAAAGAACTAGTTTAAAGTGTCACCAAGGGAGTATGGCATCAGGGAAAGAGTCTTGGCTTTGCTGCCATGCAAGCCTGGGTTTGAATCATGCATCTCTTGCTCATTGGTTCTGTGACTGTGGTTAAGCCCGTAGCCTCTCTGAGTGTCCACTGCATCATTTGATATGAGCACATCTTACCACACATCTTACCTGATGGCTGTGAGGACTAAATGTAATGTTTGTAGAGTGCCCAGTGTATATCAAGTGTTTTGAACTTGAAAAGTACCTGTTACTCTTAAACTCTTAGTTAGTAAAGCTTTCTAAGGTTTCCGGTTTGGCAATAATGACTACCGTATGGAAAGCATGTTCTATCTTATCTCGTTCAGCATTCACATACTCTGGATTTGTATAATGTCTTTTGCCCTAAACTAATGTTGAAGTACCATTGAAGTATATTTTATTAACCTTGGATTTATAAAATTTGTCTCTACTTCTCTGTATGACTAAAATTCTAATGAACTAAAAAATTTTGACAAAAATTTTAGTAGTATATGGAAGAACCCAGTATAAGTTTCTAAGTGACTTAATAAGAAAGCTTTTTGGCGTTGCTTGTGTTTGATATATTAACTTAGGTTTCTTTTTCTTCCCCCCCCCCCCCCCCACAGAAAAAGAAGCTACCCAGTTCATTTCCAGCTGGAATGGATGTGGACAAATTTTTGTTATCATTGCATTATGATGAGTAAACATTCTGAACATATAAGAACAGTAGCTGTTTAGAACTCATATCCCTTAAACTGTGAGTGTAGGGAATGAGATATTGACAAAATCGGAAAGCATGACCTGCACTTTCATTGTACTGAAATTTCACTTTAAATCATGCTGTTTCTGAAGCAGCTTCTTAGTTTGTAAATAGATTGACCTGGTATATTTTTATTTTGGAAAAAAACATTTGCAGAAATGTAAGTAAAGCCAATCTGCAAAACTGTATAGCTTTGACAATTGCATATTGTAAATATTGTGTAAATCTTGTTGAAATAGAGGTTAAATCAACCTAATGTTCTTACACTGTGTTTTTTGACTTCTTATGATCCCTAATTCTGAGGCTTATTCATCTGGAGTAGTTTCTTACTTTTGGGGGAAAATGATGCTTTTCCTTAAAAACTGCCTTCAGCAACTATCCAACAAGACATTTAAAGACATAGCCACTAAGTGGTACAAAAGTGATAACCACCTCAAATGATAATCAAGTAACGATTTGGGTTTTTACTAGAGTGAATACCACCCCTTCTTATAATTGCAGTAAAGATTATATTCCTGAAGTTTTACACTTTAACTGCTTCTGGTCGTTCTGTTCTCTTTGTTTTAAAGAGAGAATTTTATAAACCAGCTGAGTGTTCTGATCTTTTGTTTATAACTTTCAAGATCTTTTACAGAACTTTAAGTGTTTAGACTATTGAGCCATAAAAAGTTTGGTTATGTGGTAGTTGAGATTTCTTGGTGTGTATATACTTTTCCCCTAAATACTGGGGATTTAAAGAATTGCACTAATTCATAGAACTCCTTACATAGTAGTAAACTGTGCACATTTAATTTAAATCTTTTATTCTGTGTTAAAGCTTGTGTGGAGGATTATCTTCTGGTGTCCTTTTAGAAAGCCATGTCCATCATAAGATGTAAAAAGAGAAATCATAGTTTTATATTTTAATTTAGTTTCTCCTAAAATGGGCTGTGTTAAATAGCTATATCTATGCTTAGATACAGTGCGTTTTCTCTGTGCCCCTTAGAGTGTTATAAAGATTTACTCTCAAAAAGTCCTTAAGGAGAATGAACGAGGTGCCTTCTTTGTATTAGACTCACATACGTCAGTCAAGTTGAAGCATTGGTTTAAACCTTTAAATGAGAACAGAAATTATAACCAGTACCTGACCAATTGTGCCTAGATATTTAAGTATTTACTTGTTCTCTTAAGTGCTTTCTGTTTGGTTAAATATCATATCAGTATATTAAGGTTTTTTCCTACAGGTGTATATACTGTTAAAGAGTCATTTCCCTCAACCTTTTTTTTTTTTTTGTACTGGGCCTTTAAAAAACTAAATCCATCCTACTCTTACACAGCATTTCTCAGTGTGGAAATCACGTCTTAATTGTTGGACCTTACTGCAGAAAATTGTGTTGTAAGCAATTTTTATGATGTGGCAGTGCTCTATTCCTAAGAAACTAATTATCATACCATTAATGTTTATTTAACTCAAGTTGATACTGTACTACAGTTAGGTTTGAATAAATATTTTCATTAACTTCAAAAGTTTGAATTCCTTCATATTGGCAATTATTCTTGTTTAGATGCTTTAATTAAATTCCTTTGAAACCAATTCTTGCTTTCTTTTCCGGAAATTCACGTAATGCTAAAAATTACAGATTTTCTTCTCATTCAATTAATTTGTATTTATATGTACTAAGTACTAAGAATTTATATACAAATAAAATAAGTTCACTTTCTTCAAGATTCTTGGTTCACTAGCCAGGAGCCCCTAGATATAGTCCAAAGACAGCTTGTACTTGGACTTTTCATTTATGTTTAAAAGCAAAACCATAATCCCCATTTTACCTTAAAAATCCAAATGTGCTGGACTTAATTGTGGTATTGTACCTGGTAACCTATTTTAACAGTCAGATGCCCAGTGACTGCATTTCAGAGTTCAAGTATACCACAAACAACTTGTGGCTGCTTTTATAACTACATGTAAGGATCCACTCCTTATTTTGGACATTACTTAGTGGTTCATGTAGTCAGTGTATGCCAAATCTGAGAAGGCTTGTAATTAAAATATTTGATTATTTTAGCCCTGGATATTGTTAGAACCCTTTACTGTGTTGAAATTGTACACGAGGGCTGGCCCCATGGCTTAGCGGTTAAGTGCATGCGCTCTGCTGCTGGCGACCCGGGTTCGGATCCCGGGCGTGCACCGACACACCGCTTCTCCGGCCACGCTGAGGCCGTGTCCCACATACAGCAACTAGAAGGATGTGCACCTATGACACACAACTATGTACTGGGGCTTTGGGGGAGAAAGTAAATAAATAAATAAAATTAAAATGTTTAAAAAAAAAAAAAATTGTACACGAGAAGAGCATCCATCAGCATTTAGCCAAAGGCTAGATGTCGTGGCCATTAGGTAAACCAAGATTTAAGCTTTGATAAGGAGTAATTTCAAAAGCATATTAAGATATAGTCTGCATTCATTATTTCTCAAGCCACCATCTTTTGGCTCAGGGCCAATTTCTTGAAATTATGTATCAAGTTTTCACTTTATTATGCTTCCTCTGCTAATAGACATTTTTTATATAAACTTTGGTTAACATTTTGGCATACTTTACTAGTCTTTTTTCCTAAATTTTTTTTTCTACCTAGTTGAAATTAAACTGTAAATATATAACTTCCTAATGCTTTTTTCACTTCAAATAATTTTTAGCTATTATAAAAAAAGCAGTGAACAAATTTGTGAATAAGTATTGGTCTATGTTATCAATTATTTCCTTAGGAGACATTTTAGAGAGTGGAAGTGCCAAATCAAAAGGTTTAGTGTACATTTTTTTAAGGATCTCAATACATTTTGCCAGTTCTTTCAGAAAATTACTTCAGTTTACATTCCTGCCAACAAATTGTCATTTCTTCCATGGTATATGCTTATCTTTTACTAGAGATATATTCATCTATATCAGACTATATCATCACTGGCTTCTAGACTTTTCTTAATTTGTTAAAATTAGGAATTATCTCTTAATCCATATATAATTTGTTTTGGTATCTGGTGTTAAGTAATGATCAAAGTGCATTTTTCCCCTAAATATTTAACCACTTGACTCAGTATAATTGGTTAAAATAAGGTTTCTCTCCACACTCCATGCGTTCACTTATTATGTCTCTATTATTCTATACTGAGTGACAATCTTTTATTCACAATTCTAAAATCCAAAAAGTTCTAACAACTAAATTTTTCCCCTAAATTTAGTATCAAAACTCATTTCATGGGGCCGGCCCCGTGGCATAGTAGTTAAGTTTGCACTCCGCTTCAGTGGCCTGGGTTCGCAGGTTTGGATCCTTGGCACAGACCTATGCCACTCATCAAGCCATGCTGTGGCAGCAACCCATATACAAAATAGAGAAAGACTGGCACAGATGTTAGCTGAGGGCTAATCTTCCTCAAGCAAAAAAAGAGGAAGATTGACAACAGATGTTAGCTCAGAGCAAATCTTCCTCACAAAAAAAAGAATACTCATTTCATAGCAAAACCTAACCTGATTTGACATGAGGCTACATAAGTCTTTATCTTCTTTGATATGAATATTCATATTTTGCTGGAAAAGTAGTTGTGTGCCTAATTAAGTGTGCTGTTTCAGATTCAGCTGGGGTACATGATATGTACGTTGTGTTGCTTTTTAAAAATTCTAAGTATTCTTGAAACCCACCTAATTATAAAAATATTAAAATCAAAGATTTTAGACCTGTATTAAGTTCATATACACTATATACTGTGGCGTATAGATTATTTTGTGCCACTGATTAAATCATTGTAGCTTTGTGTCCATTATGGCTGTTGTTATTTTTTCAAATATTCACCCCTTTTATGCTTCCTGATTAACTTGAGAATCACTTGTATTATATCAAGTTAAAATTCTATTGGAATATTCATTTGAAGTACATTAGCCCTATAAGTTAACTGATACTGAAAGAAGCAAAATGTAATAGTAATATGGTATGTATCAATAGTTTTGTAGTTATCCCTATCCTCATAAATTTCTTGCTAAATTGAGTATTTTGTTGTTGCTATTTTTAGAGAACTCATCATTTCTTTGTTATAACTGGTTATTGCTTTTTTAGTTAATGTAAAATTTTTATGGAAGCATAATGCAGAAGAAGTGCACAAACTATTAAGTTCATACAGTTAAATGACTTTTCTAAAAGTACACACATCCACTTCATCAGCCAGATCAAGAACTAGAACATTACCAGTAACCTAGAAGCCCCTCATACTTCTAGTAACTGCTAGTCCCAAAGATAATTATCATCCTGACTTCTAGCACCATAGTTTCAGCTGTTTTTTTTTCACTTTGTATAAATGGATTCAGGCAGTATATAGTCTTTTGTAACTTCTTTTACTCAACGTTACGAGATCCACTCATGTTGTATGTAATTCATTTGTCATGCTCAATGCTGTGTATTTTTTCATTATGTTTATCCACATTGTATTATGCCACAGTTAATCCATTTTATAGTTGGTGAACATTTTATTTCCAGTTAGGGCTATTACGAACAGAACTACTGTGAATATTCTTGTGCATGTTTCTTGGTGAATGTATTACACTTTTCAGTTGGAGATAATACTTAGGAGTGGGGTTGTTGAGTCATGGGGTTGCATATATCCAACCTTAATTCAGATTTTTCATTTTTCTAGAGTGGTTTTACGAAATCATAACTACTGTCAACAGTGTAAGGAGAGTTCCAGTTGTTCTGCATCATTGTCAATACTTAGTATTTTCATTTTAACCATTTTGCTGGTGTATATTGGTATCACATTGTGGTTTTAATTTGGCTTTTCCTGATAAAAGTTGAACAACACTTCAAATGATTATCTCCTTTTGTGGAGTATCTGTTCATGTCTTTTGCCCATTTTTGTGTTGGGTTATCTGTCTTTTTTGTACTGATGTAGGTGTTCTTTCAGTATTCCAGATACAGGTCATTTTTCAGATGGATATCAGATGTCTGAAAATTTTACCATGTTTTTCTTCTGAAAGTTTTATTGTTCAACCTTTTGTATTTTGATTGATTATCCACCTGGAGTTGATTTTCCATATGGATATTCATTTAACCCAGCACCATTTATTGAGAAAAACTATCATTTCCCAAATACATTGTACTGTTACCATTGTAATAAGCTTAGTAAGCTGTATATGTGTGAGTTTGCTTCTGGACTTCAATCTGTTACGTTGATTTATTTTCTTTTTTTTTTTTTTTTTTTGTGAAGAAGATCAGCCCTGAGCTAACATAAATAGTTGTTTTCCAATTTTATTTCTTCTTACTACACTGATTAGCACTTCCAGTACAACTAATAATGATCAAAGTAGGCTTCCTTGTCTTATTTCTCATTTTAATGAGAATGTTAAGTATAATGTTGGCTTTTGTTTGTGGTGTTTTAAGAGTTTACATCAGGAGTATCTGTTCAACTTAATTAGATATTGTTTTAACATCAACTAAAATATTTTTATTATATCCATGAATTTGCTTTTATATTAGTAATGCTAATATTGTATAGTTTGCAATCTTAGTGATTCTTTAAATATAACTAAATTTGATTTTTCAACATTTTATTTAAACGTTTACTTCCAATGAGATTGGTTTCAAGCTTATGCCAGTTTTTTAAATAAATTTGAAACTTTCCATCTCCTAGTTTATCTGAATATTGGAATAATGAATAATACCTTTTTTTAAGATTAGTGTGATGTTTAGGTAAGACAATATATGTAAAGCATTTAAGTCAATGTCTGGAACATAAGAAGCACTTGAACGACAAGCTGCTATTCTAGCTGATGCTGTTTTTTTATCTTTATTTTCTGCACAGTCTATTTAGAATGAGAAATAACTGTTCCTTGAAAGTAAATCGCCAAGAAATCGTCTAGGCCTGGAGGCTTTTGCAAAAGCAATTCAGTTCCTCCACCCCCCACCTCCACCCCCCAGATTTCTTCCAGGCTGTTCAGGCTTTTGAGCTTTTTTCTGAATTAAATATTTTTTTTCCTCTCTAATTTTTGCTTGTGTTCTCTTTAAATTAGATGTGACTAATTTTTTCCTAACAAAATCACCTCTTACATTTAACAATTGTATTCTTTTCTGATTCACTATAATTTCTAGTTTATTCTTTGTTTCCTATTTTTCTCATGGTTCTTTTTTTGTATTTAACTGCTTAAATTGAACAGTTATCGGATTTTTTTTTCCTTTTAAAACCCTGTAAGCATTTAATTAAGGCTATGAATTTAGTTCTGATTTCAACTTTAAACATCAAAATTTGGAAGATGGGGTAAGTACTTTCATTTTCTTTGGTTATTTTTATATCTTTAACTTAATTACTTGGTATACGGTAGCATGCTTTTTTTGCTTAAAAATTTGTTTTTATTGTGATGAAAGGATAGGTTAAAATTTCTATAGATGTTGCATGGGTGCTTAAAAACAAGTATTCTGTTTATAAAGGTACGAAGTTTGATATTTATTCAATCTTACACTATCAAATCCTATCTAAGTTTGCTTTTAGC